CCAATTAGGAACCATTCGTCTAAATAAACATCTAATTCTGCATAATGTCTTGTTTGTTCCTGCTTTCCGGTTCAATCTCATCTCTGTTTCGAAACTTTGTCAAGATAATGTCTGTCTCTTAAATTTTTTTCCTAACAAGTGTGAATTTCAGGACCGTTTGACTGGGAAACTGATGGGCTCGGGTAAAGTTCACCAAGGCCTTTATTATTGGATAGGTGCTCCTGATGCTAAAACTTCAAAGTCTTGTAATAGTCTTTTTAATATTAATAAAACTTCTTTTATTTTGCATCAACGCCTGGGTCATAGTGCATCTATTCCACAACCCAATTGTCTCATTTGCCCTCTCGCAAAACAGTCCCGCACAAAATTTCCCAAACACATGCCTTCCACAAACCGTATTTTTTCCTTAATTCATATGGACATATGGGGTCCATATCACACAGCCAATCACGATGGCTCTAGATATTTTCTTACCATTGTAGATGATTACTCTCGGGGAACCTAGGTCTACCTCATGCACTCTAAAACCTAGACACTCACTCATATCAGACATTTCTTGTCCATGGTCAAAACCCAATTTGATGTTTTAGTTCAACGAGTCCGGACAGACAATGCTAGGGATTTCTTCAACACGCAATGTTCGGAACTTTTTTCTTCTCTTGGTATTATCCATGAAAGCTCCTGTGTATATACCCCTTAACAGAATGGCATTGTTGAACGGAAACATTGACATCTTTTAGAGGTCGCCCGTGCCCTTAAACACCAAGCCCACATCCCTATTACCCTTTGGGGTGAATGTGTGGTCACGGCCACATACCTAATCAATAGAATGCCGAGTCGGACTCTGGATGGTAAGACACCTTATGAGGTACTTTTTGGTAAACCACCTACAGTTGATCATCTCCGAGTATTTGGGTGTCTATGCTACTCTACAAATTTAAAGGGGAATGATAAATTTTCTCCTCGGGCTATTCCCTGTGTTTTTATGGGTTACCCAATGCATTAGAAAGGTTATCGCCTATATGATCTCACTGCCGAGAACTTCCTGGTTTCTAGGGATGTGGTTTTTCATGAAGATTCTTTTCCTTTTTTAGACAGGTCTCCCTCTGACGACTCCCAGCAGTCCTTCATTTTTTTTCGAAGATACTTCCACAGCAGACTTGTTTAGCCCCTATTATACCATGCATCCCATTCCAAACATGGGGCCCCCCCAGTCCACCTCTGAACCAGTTTCTGCAGAGACATAGCTTCTTGGTCCTTCTCCTACTTCATCTCCAGAGAACCAGTTTTCTGATCCACCTCCCCTGGACAATACACCTATTGTTCCTGCCCCTCCTCAGAGACGTTCCACAAGGGTCACTCGCCCACCTGTTTGGACAGATGACTATGTCTGTCCTACCCTCCAGCCTACCACAGGTACTACTTACCCTACTTCCAACTATGTTACTTATGATCGATTGTCCTCTGCCCACAGGATTTGCATTAGTCAGATTTCTGTACACCAGGAACCATCATGTTACTCTGAAGCTGTTTCCCATTCACATTGGCATCAGGCCATGGCCGATGAGCTCAGTGCCCTATCTCAGAATCACACCTGGGATCTTGTTCCTCGTCCTTCTCATAGGAAACCCATTGGTTGCAAATGGGTTAACAAGGTCAAGCACCGTGCTGATGGCTCCATTGAGCGTTACAAGGCTCGTCTCGTTGCCAAAGTTTTCACCCAGAGAGAAGGTTTTGATTACCAAGACACATTTTCTCCCGTAGCCAAGCATGTCATTGTTCGGACTTTCTTGTCCATTGTTGCCATCCGTGATTGGTCCCTTCACCAAATGGATGTCCATAATGCCTTTCTCCACGGAGATCTTCATGAAGAAATTTATATGGACCTTCCTCCCGGCCTTCGTGTTAGGAAACGACCTGGTTGCGCAGCGAAAAAATAAAAAAATTACAACCATGGATCGTTCCTTAGAACCCAAAAATCAGGGCATAGAAAATTACAGTTTATATTTTATAAGAATCTGCAGAAAAATAAATCCAAAGGTTTAGATTCATACCCACGTTTGGAGGCTCCACCAATGTTGTCTCTGAACGTGTTTGCTACCGATCCAAGTATAGGATCGAACTGTAGAGGTCCACACGAAGACAATCAATAAGAACCAAGGAGGGATTTGCTAGATCCTCCTTGGCCTTAAGAAATCAAGAAGAAGATCAGTATTTGATTTTTCAATCAAACAGTGAGATTGGCGTGAGAGAGTGTATAAGGGGCTGCTGTTTTTTTTTTTAAAATTAAAGAATGAATCACACACTATTCTTTTTATAGGCAAACCAAGTTGCCCTATTCCCACATGGAATGGGCTTGGGCTCCAACCCAAACACCCCATGTTGCCAAACACTCCCAATTTGATATTTTAATTTAATTCATCATTATCTTAATTAAAATCAATTAATATTTAATTAACATTTAACAATAATGATGATTTAATTAAATATGTGCGAACACACATTTAACCGTAATTTCACTTATTTAATTTTTTAACAAATTAAATAAAAGGCTACGACCTCAGCAAATTTAATTGCACTGTGAAATTACCAAAATACCCTTTCGCCTAAAAAGACGAAAACGCCCTTCTTTCTTCTTGGCTCTTAAATTATCTTCTATGTGTGTGACCCATAGGCTCCTCATCATACCGGTAGTGTATAGTATCGCGATTAACACCAATTAATCGTCTCACTAATACACAGACCAAGATTGGCCCCTAGCAAGGCATCATGGCCACCCGATAGATTCGGATTCAGCAAAGTAGCTACCTGTCAACGATATGGTTACCGTACAATACGATCCTTTCATCATACGTTATCTCGACGAGACGAAGGCATAGAAATAGTGTCAACCTTCGGTTACTCTCGATATTATATATTCAGTTTCTGGACCAATGACCCGTATTATAATCTGGATAGAGCAACAACTCAATCCCACTGTGGCCACAGTTTTAGTGTCATTGCCATATACTGAATTGCGCCGTGAGATAACTTCTCCCGTACCCGGGAGTGATGAATCCTTTGTCAATCCACCATAGTCTTGATACACTCCTTGATATAGCCAATCACCACCGTACTGACAGCTCTGAATAGAACTGCGTTAGGCTAGTGTCAAACTGTACCAATCGGTGCACAAGGCGCTCCGGTGATCTCAAGTCTAAGGATCACATGCACCACCATTCGTTAGAGGATTTGTTCCATAGACACTGGGGTTACCATCCATATGGAATCCTCTGGTGGGTCAGTCCAGTGAACTTGCTGCGGTATATCCGCCTACAACAAGCACCCATGTGTTGCACCAGGTTGTCACCAAACAACCTTGACAAGTGAGATCAGTCACTGCCTTTCGACAGGGTCGTTCAACACTATGATAGCCTTACCGTATTATCTGTGCCCTTACTTCAGAATAATACTGGGGCTACGGACGTTTCTAGAATGGCCACCATATGTGCTCATAGGGTTCTCACTATCAAGATTTGAAACACTTGATACCCTCGTCACGGTTCTACCATTCTAAGGACATATATCAATACATATTGCAATAATAATGATTTACGCGATATAGAATAAAATGCCTTTTATTATTGATTAATGAACATTATTACAAAGAGTCAATTCTACAATAATTGATTGGCTCTAGGGCATCTACTCTAACACTTCGTAGATAGGGGGAGAATATGGTATGTCGTCTATGCAAGTCCTTATATGGTTTGAAGCAAGCATCACGGCAATGGAACGCAAAATTCACAAAGGCTCTAACTAATATGGGATTCACTCAATCCTAGCATGACTACGCTCTCTTCACATGGCACAAAGGTACCACTATCATTGCTCTTATTATTAATGTTGATGATATCTTAATCACTGGGAACGATGAGAGTAGCATTTGCACCTTAAGAGAACATCTCAAGAAACATTTCCGTATAAAAGATCTGGGGGAACCAAAATATTTTTTGGGCATCGAGATTGCACGATCCCCAGCAGGTATTTCTCTAAGTCAACGGAAATATGTTTTAGAACTTGTATCTGACTCTGGTTTATCAGCATGCAAACCCATCATCATCCCTGTGGAACAAAACATCAAACTCACATCACAGCAATATGACCGTGAGACAGCCTCTACAGAAAATGGCCCTCTGTTACAAGATCCAACTTCCTACCAGAGACTCGTAGGAAGACTTATCTATCTCATCATGACAAGGCCTGACATAAGTTATGCGGTCCACATACTAAGTCAGTTCATGCATCAACCCAAACAATCTCATATGGACGCAGCAATCAAGGTGCTTAAATATTTAAAGGGATGTCCTTGATTAGGACTTCTCTTACCTCGAGATGGGAATTTCGACATCACAGCTTACTGCGATTCAGATTGGGGTACTTGTCCCATGACTAGAAAGTCTCTTACAGGATTTTGTATTAAAATTGGAGGATCTCTTATATCATGGAAAACAAAAAGGCAACCAAAAATATCACTTTCTTCAGCTGAAGCAGAGTATAGAGCAATGGCAAAAACAACTTGTGAGATTGTCTGGATTCTTGGATTAGTCAAAGACTTGGGAATAAAAACAGGAAAACCAGTCACTTTGTACTGCGATAACAAAGCTGCTATTGATATCACAGCAAATCCAGTTTTCCATGAAAGAACCAAACACATAGAAATTGACTGTCATTTCATCAGGGAGAAAATTCAGGAAGGGATTATTAGGACTAGGCACATACGAACATCGGAACAACCAGCGGACATATTCACAAAGCCTTTGTGTAGTCGTCAGCATTCTTATTTATTACGCAAGCTTGGGGTTTTTGATATCTACAAATCACCAACTTGAGGGGGAGTGATGAAATATGGAATGCTAAGAATATCCATGCTGGAATCAAGCAGTGATTGATTTGAATATTGATTGTAATATTTTGTAATTAAGAGTTTATTGTTTTTCCTTTACAATATTATTTCCTTTCCTTATTGTATTCAAAGCCACTGTATAAATTGGCCAATGTACATTACAGAAGACAATATACAAAATACAATTTTCTCTCTTTTGCTTGATATTCTTTGGCTCTCATTTCTGCCCTCTTTATCAAGCTTTCTTGTAGGCATTCTTCGGCAGTCTTCTGTCCCTTTTGCCACCTTCAATCTCAAATTCTGACAGTAACAGCTCCTTTAAATCTATTTTCAAATAGATACAAATACTTTAATGAGGAAAAACCAGTCAGAGATGATAAGATACTATTGTTGAAGTTGTTACGGGCTAAATTCATACCCTCCAAGTTACTCAACCTCGATAACCTCTCGAAACCTACAAATACTCAACCATTTTCAAGCAAATAAATTGCTTCATGCATATTATCATTTAATGTATCACAAAATTATTCACAAAAGATTGAAAACACAAATCAAAAAGTAAAAGTAAAATTCCAACTTTAATATTTTTTGGGGATCTTTTCCAATATTTTGATTAAATATGCATACAAGTCTAATTGATTGAATTTATGCAGATAAATCCAATCGATTGAATATCTATTAAGAATATAACTTTTAAGAGTTTGAAAATATGTTGAAATCTTCAAATTTAATTGTAAAGGAGAGATTTTTGAGGAATTTGTAATAATGTGAAATCATTTTATTAAAATCACATGGTACTAGCAGATGCAAAGAAATTTACAAGAAATTAAATATGAACATAAATGTAGAAATAAATTAAGTTAAAGGGAGAAAGAAAATGAACCTTCGTTCTCAATACAACCAACTATATTATTGCCACTTAAGTCAAGGGACTGTAGTTGCTGGAAGGAAGAAAACAAAGAAGCATTTAGATACCACCCTCCCACTTTCCCATCCCCTACATCATAAAGCTCGAGTTTCATGACTCTGCTAGTAATATTGTCGCACACAACCCTTTCCCATTCACAACAATTTGAATTTTCCACCCAATCTTGAAGATAATTCTTAGAACTAAAAACAGGTTTAAGTTGCAAGAGGGCAGTTCTCTCTTCCTCCCAACACCCTTCTCCCGAAGAAACCAACATTATTACTAACAACACCCAAAACCACTTACAATCCATCTCTTAATACAGTCTAAAGCCTTGTTGTTGGAGTTGTCGACTACTTCAACATTAATGGATAACGGAGACGCACTCGGGGGTCCCGCTGTAGGATTTCTTTTAAGTTACTAATTCCTTTTTGGGTTGGGCTTATGAATAAGAATCCTTGTAAAACTAGGTTTAATCTCTTAAACCTAGTATATAAACATACTTTTCTTTTGTTATATGTGTGAGAGCAATTCATTCATTGTAAACGAAAGAGGTGAGACATATTGCAATAATATTGACTCAACTGGACGTAGCCCACATTGGGTGAACCAGGATAAATCGCACGTATTATTTTTTCTTTATTTACTGTTTAATTTGTTTACTATTATATTTTGTTCCTGTTTTTCGTCTCTATTTCGTTCACTTGTGACGCACATAACAATGCACTATCCTCTATTTATAATATAATGAGGGCCCCTCTTCTCTTCGACTTCTATGTCTTTTTCAATATATATTTTCCTTTGTGGATATCAACAATATTTTATTCACTCAACTCAAATTATTTAATACATTTGATATATATTATAAGAAAAACAAGAGAGAGAAAAACTCAAACAACTAAAAAAATAGATGCAGGTTCATAATTAGAACAGTAAAAGATAACATATTTTTTTTTAAAAAACCTAGTTCTCTAAATCACATAACACGGGATTTTTATTCTCCCTAATCATGTTTTCCTCTTATTCATTTTTTATTTGTTTTAAAATTTCAATTTAAAATAAAAAATAATTTAAACATAAAACCAAATAATATTAAATTAAAAGAGTTGTACAAATTAAACAATATATATATAATGTAACCAAATTTAAGTGGTTCTTAATTTTAGATTAATTTTCCAATGCACTGTATGTATGACTACATTACTAATAGACTTGTCTAATAATAATACTTAAACACTAAACAAAATAATTTTTATTTTATAGATGATATTGAATGATTTAATAAATATTTGAAAATATAGGAAACTGATGTGATGATACATCTCTTTAAACACAACCATATAATATGACTTAACCTTCTTTAATGATTTGTCCAAGTTATATTCTTGACCTCTCTTAGTGATCTATCTATCTCAAAGTAACTAAAATTTATATTCTTTTGAAATTTATATTACAATTTCCAAACTTATTGATAGGATGTATATGAAAGAAAAGATAGATAATTGTTGGCTCATCAATTTCATAAATTCAATTAACACGATTTGACCTTATCTAATGATCTGCCTAAGTTGCAATACAATTTCCAATGGCACACTTGTTTGTATTAGAAGACTTTGAATACGGCTTTTTAATAAGAGGTTTCAGTAAAACGTAATTAACGGATATATGGAAAGCAATTACAAGTATTTTAGCAAATAGCATTTTTGCTAAAAATGAAGCTCGATTCATATTGTAATATAATTAAAGTAAATAAATATTTTACAAAAAAAAAAATTACATTTATAAGTAGGATATGAAAGAAAAGATGGAGAATTCATAAAATCAATTAGAAAGGCTTATAGATAATAAATCAATAAAAGTACATTGTTAATTAATTGATGAAATAGGTCTTGTCTCTTATTAAAAAAAAAAAAAAAAAAATTGATCTTTAAAGAAATGAGCTTATAAATGTCTAATTATAAGAATATGGCAATTCTTGTCAACTTTAGATCAATGAACACAAATTACTTAAAAGAAACACAAATCAAATGTAAATTAAAAAAAAAATTAAGTTTATAGATAATAGCTCAATAATTGTATAGATGGGGAACAATGTTTTACAAAAAAAAAAAAAAAAAAAAAAAAAAAAAAAAAAAAAAAAAAAAAAAAAAAGATATAAGTTTCAAAATATTTATTGTATTTATGGGTAATAAATCACTAATTACACAAATAATAAAATAATTTAATGTGGTTCACAAAAAGCCACATCCACTAGTGAAAAGAAGAGAAGCACACAACTTGACGCCCCGACGGTATTCCAAAACTTGGTACCAAATTTCTTAAGACTAAGCAAAATAATATAATAGTTAACAAAGTCTCAAAACTATAAAAATAATTACTTAAAAAAACCCTTTCTTAGAGGTTAAATTGAAATCTGAACTCTTTTTAATTGGCTCAGTAGATTCACTCTAATAATTAGTAAAAGTCACTCTAGCATTTGAATTGCTTCCAATCAACTCTAGCGCTAGATAATAATTTTTTTATTTTCTTTTTCTTAAAAAGATAAAATGAATTTCATATACATTTTTTTAAAACAATATTTTATATTTCCTTTTTATATTAAAATATAATTAGTTACACCCCATTTCTCAATATACTCTTATCTCTCTTATTCACAATGCACTACCTCCATCTTATTTATAGTAGAATATTCTACTCAAGTGTCAATCTCTAAGCCTCGACAAATACATTTAATATTACTTGGTAAAAAGAAAAAAAAAATTGAAACAAAGAGAATTAATAAAATCGTTTAGTTTCCTTACCAAGTGATAAACCACTAAAAAATCATTACTCGTTTGTAAATTGTAATTAGACTTTAGAATTAACTTTTAGTTTTTTCTTATCTAAATTAACGCATACATTATAAAATAATATATAAAACTTAATTTTTGTCAATCATTTTTACATCCATTGATAAATGTAAACAATGGAGGAGTAATGACTAATGAGTACAGGTTTATTCACATTTCAAAAACATATTGGTTGCTTTAAGAAAAAGAATAAAAATCTCTACAAGTTGAGGACGACTTTTCACGTCAAATCATTCTTGGAAAAAATCTAAGCTCTCTCGAAAATGTGGCACCCACTTCTTTTGGACCTATTCTCGATCCCATGTGATACATATATCGTAAATGAAGGGTTATGTTAGACTTTTAAATTAACTAAAGGTTATTTTATCTTATCTTATTAATATTTATTATCAACATTGTTCTAAAGTTGTACTATAGTAACTTGATTTTCCAAGTTATTTATTTTTTTATTTTTGTTGAAGTCTAAAAGTAATGAGAACGTAATTAAATCAAACTTATAACCATTCATTTCTGTGTCAACAATAGCTCACCATGTCTTCAAACTTATAACCATTCATTTCTGTCAACAATAGCTCACCATGTCTTCCATAAGGGAACATATTATCTATCTTTGATTCTTTTGGTTATTTTTTTCTTCCCTTTTTATTCCCAGAATCAAAAAGCAATTACTTGCCTCTTTATTTATATATTTAATTTGTAATTGTTTGATTTTTTGCGTATATGAATAATTAAAATACACATTTTTTACTTTGAAATAATGAAAAGTTGTTGGACTCAGTGGCTCAACCCATTTAGGAAGTTATAAGTGGAGTAAATATTTTAATTATTATTACATTTCTAGGTTAATTTTTAATTGATTTTTAGTTGAATCCTTCTGAAAGAACCAATTTGGTGGTGCAATTCGAAATAACGATAAAGATTATTTTAAATTTTGTACTTCATAAAATTTAAATTTAAAGAGTTTATCTAAATAATTTTGTGAAAAATTATACATATTGCTAGTCTCTTAGAAATCAAGACTTTAGGTGATCATAGTCTTATCTTATGTGACACACATGTCTCGTAACGAAGGTTGTAGACTTTTGAATCAATTAATGACTATTTTATCTAATCAATTCAACACAAATATTATAAATAAATATGCCTTTTTGTTGATCATTTTATTTTATTTGGAAAATAAGCTCAAACACATTTTACACGACAAGATAATAACATTTTTCTTAAAAGATGTATGAAAGTAACCCAAATTTTCAAGTCAATTACTTTAATTTGTTGAAGTCTTAAAGTGGTTAGAAAGTAACTAACCGAATTAATTTAACTTAAAGCTATTACTTTTACTCTATATTTAAATTTTAATTGTTAACTTTTCCAATCATATTAATAGTAAAATTCACTTTTTTCTTTCTTTCGAATAATATGTGGGAGGTTGTTGGATGCAACCCATGTAAGAAGTTATTATAGAAGAAAAATCAATTTAGTCTATGAAAATAAATAAAATAAAATTATAGAATAATGTGGAGTTGTTGGATTCAACCCATATAAAAAGTTCTAAGTAGAGATTATATTATTATATAGTTGGATTTTTTATCCTCTATAATTGTTTTAGGGTTCACTAGTTAGGAAAGAAGAATTTAGTAATATTGATATTTTTACAGATAAATCCAATTGTATTTAAGCATGGTCCTCACAAAATTTATATAAGGACATCTTAAATTGTGATGGAATGTTGTTATTATGTAATTGTTCATCAATTCAAGACTTTAGGTCCATATTCTCGATCTCATATAATGCACTTAACGTAAATAAAGGGTTATGTTGGATTTCAAATTAATTAATGTTTATTTTACTTATCCAACACGTATATGCAACGTGTATCAAACAGCGAAACAACACATGGATATCCAGGATGTTGCCGACAGGATTCAACAATCCAGATTCAAAGAGGCATTGGATGTTGACTTTATAATAAATGTAAAATTTTAGTCGTCTGTAATAAAATGTTTGTAAGACACATGGGAGACATGTGGACCCCAGTGTTATTAAAATTTTAGCTAAAGGTTACTTTTACTTTTTCTTTTGCTAAGTCAAGTCTTATTTAAGACTTGTTGTACAATTGCTTAAAGCTTTGTACGTTAGCTTAAACTTTTGTAATTTTTGTAAGTTTTGTTTTGTTTCTTTTTTACGGATTCAATTCTAATTGAAGTCCCGAGCTTCTCTATAAAAAGGAAGCATGTGTATATTTCGTTCAAGAGAAAATTAATAATACTTTCAGTTTGTGAAAAATTCTCTCAATCTCTTGTTTACTTTTAATTGTACACTCGAGACAAGGAAAAGATTATTCAAGACGGTTGATATCCAGGTATGAATTAATCTGTTAAACTGAATTTATGTATTTTCTCTCCAATGAATTAACTAGGTTGTTTAGTTATTAATTGTAATAATATTTGTTAGATTGGGTATAACAAATAT